CCCCGGCCCTCGGCGCCGCCCCGGCCGCCATCCCTCACCCGGTGCCCCTCAGCGTCTGCCCGCCCAAAGCGGTTCCCCTCCGAAGATTTCAATTTCCAAAGAAAATTCCAAGAAAAACACATTTTTCCCCCCTCCCCGCGCTCCCTCTACACCTTGTGCAACCCTCGCAGACCGTAACCACCCACAGCTTGTCCGACGCAAGGCGTTAGGCCAGCACTTGTTCCTACGTGTTCCTACCTCTCAGGATGTGTCTCTAGGGAATGAGATGATAAATACAGATTCCTACACATTTTGGGTTAGGTTCTTGGGTTTTTTTCCTTCTTTTATTTATTTATTTTTTAATGTAATGTTCCGTTTGCACTACCAGCAACCGTCATAAGGTGGCACTCAAAAAATGCTTATTGCTGAAGTCYAACAACAGCATAGCCAGTTTTGCTATCAATTTCTTATTTGCTGAGGAAAAACAAACAAAAAAMSRAMMAMMAMAAAAAAACCCTCAAACGTTTTCAYTTGTGGTTTATATTTGCTACTAATTGTATCTTCTGGTAAAATTCTCTATTTTCCGTCTGGGTTTTGAGGCTAAAAATGACCAACATCACACCCTGGACCCAGGAAGAGCAGAGCCCATCACTGTGATCATTGGGTCCAATGAAATAAATCAAGGACTGTCAATTTAGGGGGAAAAATGCTCTTCTGTTACAGAATAAGGCATGAAATGATGTATTTATCAACATTTGCCAAATCAAATCCTTGTAGACCTGAATCTGGCTGCAAGTTGAAGTGGATTGTATATAACTGTAACTTAGGTTTAAGTAAAATCTGCTGCAATYTATCATCCTTTTTAATACAGTAAATTGTCCAAGGTCAGGTCAAAAACATGCATCTCTCACTGATCTGCTCCAAAGCTTTTTCTGTCCATACAGGCTTAGCCTTTCTTCAGATCAGCATCCTCGGAGTAGCTATACTCCACCAAGACATACATACGTTCAAAGACCAGAGATCTAAAACCCGGCATATTTTTCATTACTTGTGTGACCAAAAAAAGTATTAAAAAATAAACAGGAATGACATGAGTTTTCTATCATTCCTTTATCATTCAAACAGTTTTTTTTTCCTCTGTCCTAAAAAATACCAACCAAGGTTAACATGATGTTCAGTGTCTGACCTCGGGTGGTTGGTCCACAGTAGATCACTACTTGACGTGGAAACTATGTACCTTTAGGCACATGCAGGAATGCCATCGATCCATCCTGCCTTTATCACACAGATTGCTATTTTTCATAAGCATTGCTGAACTGGAAAAGCTATTGATTGATGGCCAAGAAGATACCGTTGCTAATAGTGCTTCTCATTTGCTTTTGTTAATAGTACAATCATTGGCTATGAGGGTTAAACTGTTTSTGAAAGCAACTGGTATTTAAGTTTATTAACAGTTTAGTATAGGGAAAAAAACCCAGATTTTTATTTTCTGGACTTTTCTAGGTAACAAACATGGAGGAACTTACTACTGTGACTAGGAATAAAATATATCTGCCTACTGCCAGCCAATGCTGTAGTACAAGAATATGACAGTAAATACACTTTAAAGAATAGCTCTTTTCCTACAACATCCTGAACACACAATTATATTCCCCTGGCCATAGGTGAAATAGCCAGTAAGGTCATGTAGGTATAACACAATTTCAACCTCTGGGGTATTTTACACTGTTAAAATAATTTGAAGGGAAATCTTGGTTTTGAAGCTTAACAGCTATCTCTGTATTGTGGTCTGTGGCTTTGCTGTAATATAATATGCATAGGAAACACTGCTCTTCTTAACATAGAGGATCACAGGTGCTTGCTTTTAATGGTTATTCATCTTTTCTTCTATAGTCTTAGCATGTCAAAACCCTTTTTATTTGGGATGTTCAACCACGTCAATCTGCTCATACTTTCCTCACTCTTCCAGTCCCTTTCACGTCCTGCAGCCATGCAAACCCAGGGTGGCTCTGCAGATTCTCCCGTGTAGCCGAAAGCATCAGCGATGGCAGCAGCCGATGCTACCTTCGTAGCTCCCTTCCCTTTCCRTAACCCGTTCACGTCCTTCACAGTGGCGCTTGGCACCGTTTCCAGTTCTGCGCCGTGTGACTTTGCACAGAGCCGTACCCTGGGCTCCGGCGTTACATCACCCCAACACAATCCAGACACCCAAACCCAAACGGGGCCAGCAGTCCCGGACGCGGAGGCTCCATCCGGACGGGAGCCAGGAATGCAATCCCACCTCCGGCCAAGCCGGCTCTGCAGTCCCAGCCGCTTTCCCTGCAGCAAGGCTGGGAAGGGAAGGGGAAAGGGAAGGGAAGGGAAGGGAAGGGAAGGGTCGCTGAGGGCCGTGTCGAGGGGCCGAGCTCCTGGCCCCATGGCAGCTCCTGCAGAGCTGTGGTCCACGTAGGGCTCCCTCTTGTCTCTGCCTCATGTGGAGCTGCAGCGAAACCCACTCGCCTTCCTGCCGCCGCGGGGCTGCAGAGCAGCGCGGGTGACGACGCTCTCCAGGTCCCCACGCCGAGTGCTGGGCCTCGTGCACTCACGCTGCCGTCTCGCCCTTCAGACCTCCGCAGCGCCCACCACGGCGCCCCGTGGCCTGGGAGCGGTTAAAGCACTCGCACATAGCGCTGGCAGAGACGTCCCAGTCCCTGCGCACACTAAACACACGCTGCCGGAGGGGCAGCTCATCCACGGGCTGCCCATGGACACTGTGCACGTTCTGAGAGCCGTAGCGCAGCGGGAAACCTCGGCTTGATCCATCCTGCCACACTAGCAAGCTTGCTCACCATGGAGCAGGATAATCTCTAGCTTAAATCAGCAGTTTGCTGGAGCTGCTGCTTGCAGMTGGATGTGTGTCCCAGGTCCTCCTCTTGCTCCAGCCCTCTCTTTGCCCCATTAACACCCGCCTGCCCTTTTCCCTGCAGCTTGYGAGCAGGAGGCCATCAGGATGTTGCCTCATCGCCCCTTGGGGCAGAGCTCAAGCTGTTCTAGCACAAGGGTGACCGTGGCTGAAGCCCCTTGCTTTTGTCCTGTCCTCTTGAACCATGGAAGGACTTGCCTTCTGCCTTGCACTCAGCAGCTCCTGGATGACTGTGCTCCCTGAGGAGATCAAAGGGATCTTTTCTCCATGTTTTTCAGCCCATCAGAAAACTCCTTTCAAGCCCTTTGAGTGAGGAGGGCACCTCCAAAAACACATTCAGCTGCTTTAGGAGGGCTTCCCAGCTTTGCCATCTACCTCAAGGCTATCTCCAGCATTTCTCCATGACCGTTTCAGCCCCGCTCTCATGACTTACAAGATTGTCCCAGCTCCCAAGGGAGCCACAAAGCGTGTTGCCGCCTTTGCTATCCTGCAGCTCACCATTAGCTCTCCTTTCCTCCACACTTCTCAATCCTTCCGAAAACAAATGTGTTTTTAATCATACGTCGATTAAATTTAGCAGTTGCTGCATGAATTCATCTCTCCAGGCAGCAGCCCCTTCTCCGAGCAGCCTTTCGCTCTGCTCCCACACGTTGGCTGCACCATTTCTATGGCAACTCGAGTATCCTTCCATCTGCTGCACATCCCCATTGCTCTGCTTAGCTCCTTGTTTTCCCAGCCAAATACAGTTTCCAGGTGTATCATGATAGCAAGATGAGTTTGGAAACCAAATGACCCACTTGGGTCATTTTTGTAAGCAAACCCATACTGTTGCTATATAAGCTGTGCTTATACAGCAGAGACTAATACTGAGCTCTTCTCCTTGCCATATGTCCTGCTTCTCTCTGCAAGTTCTCATCGGTTCTGCATCCACTTCCTAATTTCCAGCTTACATTTTTCATTCTTATTGCAAACTGTGCTGTCCAAAAATAGATATGTTTGGATTTGGGGAAGTTGTTGTGGGTCTGTTGTAAGTGAGGCAGAGTTTGCCCRCTTGCTGTTTACTTGTGTCAAATAACCTACATACAAACTGAACATTTTATGACAAACTGAACATTTTGCTGAAATAACAGATTTTCTTTGTTTGGCACTGACATTTATTTTGAAGACTCTAATTTACCAGGTCAGTCTTGGTCCCTGCAAATACATTGTTCAGTTCTGCTATAGCCCTGCAATATTTTTACTTCTGAAAAACATACTTGGCTGAATTACAACAAGGCCAAAATATCATAGACTGTTCACCACTGAAATCTAGGTTGATTCTGCTGGAATCCTTAAAATTAAAATCACTGGRAATACACTTAGTATTCTATAGGACTGATATATGTTCTCATTATGTCCTAACTACCATTTTGGAGAATTTATTTAAGTGGAAATATTAAGTATTCTTCCTATACCTTCCAATCAGAAACTGCAGCAGAGAACTCATCTAAATAGATCAAGTGCAATAAAAATTCCCTGTTGATTTGTTTTCTGGATCCCATGAGTCAGTGGAATCAGACTGCAAGAAATCAGTGTGGGAGCTGTAAAGTCGTGAGTAGTCTGGACTGCGAGCTCTTACAAAATGACATTATTTGTTCGTATCCAACATCCTGGAGGAG